TTACCTGTAAAGTGTTAGAGTGCCTTTTAATCCCCAAGAGGAAACCCTGGAGCCAGTTCCCAATAGTGGGTCAAAATTTCCATTTAAGACAGCTTTAACAAATAACTCATGTTCCAGTTTACATATTAATGTAATGAATTTTCCACTGAGACTATCCTTGCCCCCAAAGGAAGTATGACAAGGCTCTCAAACCTTCTTTCAGGGGGAAAATTTAGCAGAGAAGGTGCATTATAGTACCTCCCTTCTTGTTAATGATCAGTAGCAAAAAGGGACTGGCATACCCCTCAGAGAATAGGACTCAAGACCACAGACAGCAGTTGACAGTACTCACATCACTGACTCCCAGCAGGGAAATAAGCCAGGACGAAGTTTGAAGAACCCGTCTTGAGAATTGACAAGGTAGAGCTTCAAGTTAACATTCCATCATTCACTGGAAAACTTCTGCTAGAGCCTCTGCTCCCCAGCTATTTTCATGTGAAAGATTTTCTTAGCTTTGTTCAGGCAGTTTTACTGCTAAAAGGTTGGGGAACTCATCCTTTTAAAGACTGTCTTTATTAATATATTCTCACTTCCCCTGAGAAATCTTTAGTCCCTAGTGGTAGGTGAAAATACCTCCTCTTATGTGCATGGAGATCAGCAGTAACCTTTTCTTAAGTTTCTACATCTTAATATTTCCTCCTCCCACTCAAGCTCTTTGTAGTACTGGGTACTTTTCCATAGGAAATCTAATTCACTTTCTTGAGTACCCAGCCAGCTGGTTACCCGATTTTCTTTCGGCTAGAAGTAATCCCTTTTATAGATGAAGAATTTGTTCCAGCAGCTGATTTGGCTTGGAAGGGAGAGATGTCTCTAAGAATGCTTGAACCATATCTAGTTGGAAGTGAGACAAAAACATTTAAGGTATCTGGTAAATGGCCGTAGAGGTAGCTTCACTATAACTCTGGGTCAGGATTGACACTTAAAGCAAAGACCCATTTGAGCAACTGATGAAAACTATGGACCCTCTCCCTAGGAAAATATACACATACACAACATTTTGCATTCTGTTTCAGAGCATCTAGACATCCATGGACTCTAGGTGAAGAACTTTTGACCTAAAAAAATAGAAATGTTAATATTTTATATTTGTGTATCATTATGTTGCCTCTAAAACCTTCTCACGTACATTATTGTATTTTCTCAGCACACATTTGAGATAGACAAAGTAGGTATTATTGTTCCTATTTTACAAATGAGGATTACAGATGTTAAGTACTAGAAATGTTAAGAAATGGAGATACAAAAAAGAACCTCTGATCACCATCCTTTGTAGTACTACTTTCTGTACTTGAAAAGGAATTAATTTGTTATTTCTTGGCGTGCTCTTCTGTAGGGTAAATAGATCTTCTATCCTCCCCATGAGTCCTATTTTTCTTAATGTGTTAACCATCTATTCTTAGCCTTAAATTGTAGAAATCAGAATTAGACCCAGTTCTCTTTATATCCTGTGTTGTGTATAAAGAAAGGATCACCTCATTCCATTCTCTGACCTTTGAAATAACCTTTTCTTTTCTGCCTATGAATATGCCTCCATGGTCATAGCCATAGATAGGATAAAATGGTTGGTTAAGGAGAGAGTTAAGAGAGTTAGGGCGAATTGATTCATGCTTGCAGAGAGTGTTAGAGCAGTGGTTCTCAAACTGTGGTCCCCAGACCAGCAGCAGCAGCAGCAGCAGCAGCAGCACCTGGAAACTTGTTAGAAATGCAAAATTTTGGTCCCCACCCAGATTTACTAAATCAGAAACCCTGGGGTGGGGCCTTGCAATGCATTTTTATAAGCTCACTGGGTGATTTTGATGAACCTAAAATTTGAGAACTACTTTGATAGATAAACTTGTTAAGTGGTAAGGCTTTTCCTGTCAGTCATAGTATCCTAAATTGCCTTCTGGCTGTATTTGGTATAGGGCTGCAGCTCTCTCTGCTCAGGCCTAGTGACTTAAGCCATTAGACCAAGGAGTTCCTTTTCACCTGAGTGAAGAAAATGAGGAACCAGCTGAGAGTGTTCTAGGGTGAATATCCTTGGTTAGGAAGAGCAGAAGTTTAGAGACTCATAAAGCAAGCAAAAAGATATTGGTCTGTCTCATTTCATGAAATTGTGAATAAGAGATCAAGATTGTCATGGATGATGGTGAACATCGATATTTGAGTTCAATTAATTTCCGTTTCAACTTTTGGTAGTGGCATTGAGCAAAGTTGCCAATTAAAGTGCTGTTAGATTTCAAATTCGTATATGATTTAGCCATTACAGACTTGTGGTTTGATCAGAGCCCCAAAATTATCTGCGATGATGTCCTTTCTGAAACCCAATCCAATAAGAAAGTAAATTTAAAGATCAATTTTAAATTAAATAAATTTACGATAAATTAAGAGGAATGACATGTATACACTGATGTGTATAAAATTGATGACTAATAAAAAAAAAGAGGAATCAGATGGGGCTGGTACACCCAGGGGAGTTTTTGGTCTTCTGATCAATATCATAAGGTTTGGTGTAGTGGAAAGAGCTTCGACTCTGGCGTAAACACAGGCTCACATTCTAGTCCCACTTACTTGCTGTGAGACCTCAGGCAAATCATTTGTTCTCTCAATACAGTCATTTGTACTTTCCTAATTTGTCAAATGGGGATAATTATGCCAAATTTTTAAGATTCTTATACTGATTAACAGAAGTAACATAAACACAGGCCTGTGCATAGTAGGCTCTTAATAAATATTAGTTCTCCTCCCCTTATTCTGTTCTTCCAGGGACCTTTTCTCTCAAAATGAAGATTATCCTAAAAAAAAGAATCTACCATTTTATGTTCTTTCTTGTGCTCAACAAGTACTCATTTTTTAAAAGAAAAATCATATCTGGGATTTTATAGTTAGGGAATTTAAAATGGTATAGCTACAAAGAACATGAACAAATCCAAATAATTTCCAAAGCTATTATCTTAACACCATCTATATGGATGACATTGGGGGGAAATACAGAAATGATTCACAACTGAGGGCTGGTTCAGAGGGCTTGTTTTCTAATGGGGAGATCAATATGTAACAATCTATTATGAAGACCAGAGGAAATAAGGTAGAGAGAATGAATTAAAATAGATGTGGAAGGATCTTTGACTTCTGCTGGGATCTAACTAACCTAATTTTTTTTTTTTTTTTTTTTTGCGGTACGCGGGCCTCTCACTGTTTTGGCCTCTCCCGTTGCGGAGCACAGGCTCCGGACGTGCAGGCTCAGCGGCCATGGCTCACGGGCCTAACCGCTCCGCGGCATGTGGGATCTTCCCGGACCGGGGCACGAACCCGTGTCCCCTGCATCGGCAGGCGGACTCTCAACCACTGCGCCACCAGGGAAGCCCCTAACTAACCTAAGTTGATTGCCTGATTCCTGGTCCATGCAGCGGTGGTTTTCTGTGGCATTGTCAATATGACACTTTCAAGGGTCACATTCCAATAATGAACCTCTTTTCCATTTGCTGACACATCTGTCGGCATGCAAATGTTAACATCACTAACCCCCTTTCATCTTCTATTCAAATTCAAAAATAAATTACCTGTTCTCTCTAGGGTCAAACTCCCACATCCTGGAGATGAGCAATGATAGTAAATTACTGAAAATAACAAGCGGATAAACAAATAAATTGAAATGGTCTCTGGGGAAATGCACGACGCATAATTGTCTATTAGATATACAGCCAGTAGTTTGTTCTCCTACCCTTCTCATCTGTTCCATCAGCCTTCTCAGGAGAATATGTCTCTCCAGCTCCTTTCTCTACACTGGTCACTCTTATCATGCATTAGCCCATAGCATCTTTCCATGATTAATAGGCAGTCACCTCTGTGCAAGATTTTGTTTTATATCTTCTGTGGAATATTTTTATGAATTGTAAAGTTATCAGATTTATCGTGGCATAAAAGTCTCTACAAACTAGCTCCTGTTTTTTCTTCAGCTACATGCCCTGCTACTTCTAACTTCCTGTATACATGTACTTGGTTCTTTGTCATACTGGGCTCCTGGCAGTTCCGTGTTCCTTTTGCTCTGTGAATATTGCTCTATGTACCTAGAAGGGCCACCCTACTTCACTCATCTTGAAAATTCATTCTCCTGAGTCAAGTATCAGATTAAACTCCTCTTCTAGGAAAACTTGCCTAACATACCCTGCTGACTTTATGTCACCATGTTATATGCTGCCACTGAATCTTGAACACATTTCTATTATAAGTACAGGCTTGTATATCTTTCTGTACCTGTGACTGACTATTCCATGAACTATTTGAGAAGAGGAACTATATGGTTTTTTCTACATTTTTAACTCCTGACACTCTAGGAACCCAATAAGTTTCTGATACATAAATCAAAGAATCAATCAGAGTCTATGCCTCCATTAAGGGAGAAAAGCTGTACACATAAAAACAAATCTTTCATTTATTTATTCATATATATATTTAGTACCTTTCTCCCTGTGCCAAATGTTGTACTTGGCAGGAAGAATAAAAGGATGAGTAAACGTGATGCTTGACCTGGAGGAGCTCACTTTCTCATGGAGTAGCAGACATGTGATCCCTCATTTTAGTGATGCTAAGACATTACTGATCATCACATGTGCCATTATGTTATGGACAAGCACTCATTCTAAAGGAAGAATTCAAATCACATCCCCACCCAGTCTCTGTAACATATAGTTGAATGTAGCTTTCCTATTCACTGGGTCCCTTTCAGAAACCAACAAATAAATAATGTGACTCTTTGCCCTTTCATTTGACTCTACTTGGTATGCAACAAGGTCATTATGATTCTGGGGGCCCTGAGGAAATAGAAGACTCCCTATGCCAGTCACACTTTCCACAAAATACAGTTTTTGAAAAAAGCAAGCAGATCACTCGACACCTAATCAGCGACAATCTTGAGATGGAGCTAGAAACCGAATGTCAAAACCTGCGTAAAAAGATGAACAATTAAGAGTAAAGCAGTGGTCTGAGAAAGTCGATTTTCTTGGTGACAGAGCTGAAACCTGTGTTCCCAGTTTGACTAACCCAAGGACACAGAGTGTAGGTTAGGGGCTGCCTGAGCACTTGGCTCCTTTTTTTTTTTCTTACCATCTTTATAAATTCCCTCATTGTTTTAGTGGCTCTGTAGTTAATTTTTTTCTAATGAGACTAGGTTAACTAAAGTCATCTGACATGGAAAAGGAGGAGGTATGGTTAAAAAGGAAGCTAATTAGCAAGTTAATTATAGCAGGTAAAAAAGCGCACCGGTTATATAAATAAGCTATTGTTATGCACATGCAAGTTGGGCCTTGTCAAGGGACTTGTTAAGGTTTAGAGGTCAGAGGATCCGTGTAATTAGGTGTTTAGGGGAAAAATAATAATAATAAAAGCAAAACAGCCACCAGAATTAGGAATGGCTGATGAGCCACTAACAGAAATGCCTTATTAAATTGGGCTCTACTGCTGGAGGGGTCGTTGGAGTGCTTCAGGGTTTCCAGGGAAGGCACCACCACCAAAACAACGAAAAGAAAAGCTAGCTGGAACCAGAGCCAACAGAATTGCTGATGAGGAAAGTTTAAAGGCCTAGACACAAGGGCCCCTGGACTGGAGAGGTGGCAGCAGGGCTGGTGATGTCACTATGCTGAGCAACAAGAAGAAATACATTGTCAATGGCAACTCTGGGATTAAAGCCCAGGTGAGGCTAAGCTCTTATTTACCAGTCTTGCTGCCGCTATAGCCACTGTTGTAAAAGGCCAGCTGCTTTTGCCCTCTTTCCTGCTTTCGTCCCTTCTTCTGGCGTAACGTGAGCTGCTCCTCTCCTAAGTTTCTTTCCCTTCCTCGCCTTGATGCCTGTTGGAATTAGGCAATTTTCTCTCAAATGGATAAGGAGGGTTCCCTTAAAGGACTCTCTGATTTCAGATAAGGTAGGAAAGTTAGAGGTAGAATCTACCAGAGTATCCCAACTGGGGTGGGAAGATTACTGTTTTACAAGTAGGAGTGAAAAATGTAATGGCACGTAACTATTAAGGGGAGGTGGGCACCAGGGATGGGTTGTCAGTAAAAGATAAACATTTATTTCTTGGGGCAATTGTATAACTTACTCTATATAAGTGATTAGTCTCTTTTTAATATTCTTCTGTCTTAAAGAAACTTGAGTTCAGTGTCTGACAAGTAAACAAGATTTAGAACCCTATGTCTCTGAGTGCAGAAAGCCTACATAGCCTAGTCTTTAGTGCCAAAAGATAGCCTAAACTCGGGAATTCCCTGACGGGACAGTGGTTAGGGCTCTGCGCTTCCACTGCAGGGGGTATGGGTTTGATCCCTGGTCTAGGAACTGAGATCCCACAAACTGCACAGCGCAGCCAGAAAAAAAAAAAGATATCCTAAACTTGACTTGGGTAGGAGGAAGTACTGTAAATGGAGGGGACTTCATAGAGAAGAGAGCTCAGTTTAAGGTAACTGGTTTGAAATGATGGCACAGCTAGATGGCTACATGGTTTGGTATTGTTGGGGTAAACGGTTGTGTGCCCACCCACCCCATCCTACAAATCTAGAGAAGTAGAGTGACTGGTCCCCTCTAGTGGTGTGTGAGTGCGAGGGGGTGGTACATAATCGAAGGCAGGGTTTGTCTGTTACTCTTTTTTAAAAGTAGGCACTACTGACATTAGTGACTCATTGTGGCCTTTGGAAAGTCAATGACTACTCCTTTTCCTAGATGGGCCTCTAAAAAAGAATAAAGACATGTTATTGTCTTGAACAAGGTTGGTGAAATGGAAGCCAGTGTTTTGAGCTTGACTGCTACTCCCCTCCCTATCTTCTCACCCACCTCCTTCCCCTTCCCCACTTTTTTTTTTTTTTTTTTGCCCTTAAAAATTCTTTTAACTGTAGACTTGGCTTATGGTTACCATATTTACTTAATATTCAATCAAGTACAGACTCTGAAGATAGAGTAAGACTCATCGTTTTGGCACATGGCTGCCTATTATGTGTCAGGCGTTTTCGCCTGAGGATATAAAGGTGAATAAGATACATGGCTCCTGCCTTTATGGAGCCTAGTTTGTACAGGATACAGGTAGATAGTTGTATTCACTGTGATAAGAGAAGTACATGGAAGTTCATCCCATGGAAGTGCATAAAAGGGCACTTTATCTTTTTGGAATAAATTGCTACTTCAGTAAAATAATTAATTTTGCCATTTTTCATTTTGGGAAATGCTTCTAATCCAAAGAATTTTCTTATTGCTGAAAACAATTTGCAAACTCTAAAGTACTACACAGGCTATATTTGTTGTTATAGCTATGAAAATGCTATAAATTCCCCTAAAAGGCATGCTAAGCTAATTTGATTTGGCCTTGGCCCCCTTGTCTGAATACTCAAATGACTCAGTAGTTACCTCTAACTGCAGGAAATGTGGCCGACAGTTGCTGCTTTCATTCTGGTATGCCGTATCTGTGTTCTGCCCATCAAGGAACCATCTTTTTATCATGAAAGGCAGAATCAGTTGTCAGATCTTTGATTTTTCCTGCCTCCATGCCAAATGGATCCACATCTAAGCAATTATGCAAACATTCAATTAGGGAAAAATAAAGAAAGATATTTGTTTAATAATGATATGAGCTTTGATGTGAAGTGTTATAAAGTATCAGCTGAACTTGGAACAGTAGGAAAAAGAGATAAAATTGCAAAAAGATCATGATCAGATATTGTCCAAGATGCAACCTCCAAGAATATTGAGGTTTATACATATTCAGTCCAGTTATCCACTCCTACATCTGTTATAGTTAACAAATTATCAACCTTGTGGCTTTTAGTATTTTGTGGTACCAAACATTAAAAATTATAAATTAGGGAATTCCCTCGTGGTCCAGTGGTTAGGAATCTGTGCTTTCACTCCTGTGGCCCGGGTTCATTCTCTGGTTGGGCAACTAAGATCCTGCAAGCTGCAGGGCGTGGCCAAAATTTAAAAAAAAATTTTTTAATAATAGATTAATTTTTACTATACTTATTAGTACTGAAAAGCTAATTAATGCATTTTAGAAAGCCTTTAAAAAGCTAGAGTGACTACCTGCAAGAGTTACAAGAACAGTGAATTTGTAGGGGGTGGGAGTTGGGGAGCCAGGTATTAATTGAATCACCTGCTGTGTTTCACGGTTTGCATACATTGTTTCATATAACCCTCTAAAACTTTTGAAGTAAGTTCTTTCATTTTTGTTGTATTTACCAGAAGAGGAGGGTCACAAAAACACCTTGATGAACAGCATATAGCTAATGAGTGGCATAACCAGGGTTTAAATGCAGTTCCTGAAAGCTCTGTATGAATAGAAAGCTTTTTTTTTTTTTCTATTGTACCATACTATTTCCTGAGAATCTTAAAACCTGAAGGCAGGTCACTTTACCTTTCTGTATCTTGCAGTTTCTCATCTTAGATATATGAAGATTGGAATAGATAGTCTCAAAGATTCTTTCCAGCTTTAATTTTCAGCTAAACTATAGGAAGGATTTCTGAATATGACTCGACTTTCTATTTTAACCGGTACATCCCCTTCTCCCTTTGATTGCAAGAGGTATATAGTCAGAGAGTGGTTCCAGGATTTAAATTTCATAGAAATTTCATAGAAACAGAGTAGGTAAAGAATGAAAAATCATTCTCTCCAAAGAGTCTTAACATTCCAAATGTGGGTTAGTGCAATCAGATCAGCTATGAGGGAAGGTAAGATCCTATAATGCAAGCCTTGAATTGCTGTCTCAAAATGGAGGTTATTTTCCTTTGTGTAACTAGAGTTCTTTTTCTTAGCAGATCCAGTTTGCTGACCAGAAGCAAGAATTCAACAAACGTCCCACCAAAATTGGACGTCGCTCTCTGTCTCGCTCCATTTCTCAGTCATCTACTGACAGCTATAGCTCAGGTGAGGACTGAACGGCTATGGACCCACTTGTGGAGGCTACTTAAGTATGATCAACGGACCCCTCCTGTCTATCCCAGGCTAATTAAGCGTGATCAAACCTATGTTTTGGTATAAACACTTTGATTCTCAGTGGAAATTTGGACCAAAATTCTGGATGGAATCTTTGGATTCCTGTTGGGGATTCAGAGTGGAGCTTAACAGAGGCTTCCTCTTCCAATAAAGGCAGAAGAGGGTGATTAAGGAAATTGAGTTCTGACTTATTCAGAGGGTGAGAGTATGTTGCTCACTGATGACCTTCACTGAGCAGCAAGTATGAAGACTTGTGTTTTTTCCATTCTTTGAAAATAGAAGAGGGGGGCCCCCCTACATCCATCTGGGAAACTTTAATTGCCCCGAGAGACAGTGAAATCATTGTAGCTAGTTCAAGTAAGCCCTTTGCCTTCTCTTCTAAGCTGTGACATTGTATTGTCTGTTACTCCTTCCTTCCTGGCAGTGGCATTAATTCCAATATATGGGCCCTGGGCTTGAGTTATCATTTAATGCCAGATGAATATTAACATGTGAGACCTTCTGTCAGCATTGACCATTTGTTTTTTGTTTGTTTGTTTTGTTTTGTTTTTTTAACATCTTTATTGGAGTATAATTGCTTTACAATGTTGTGTTAGTTTCTGCTGTATAACAAAGTGAATCAGCTATATGCATACGTATATCCCCATATCCGTATCCCCATATCCTCTCCCTCTTGCGTCTCCCTCCCACCCTCCCTATTCCACCCCTCTAGGTGGCCACAAAGCACTGAGCTGATCTCCCTGTGCTATGCAGCTGCTTCCCACTAGCTATTGACCATTTGTTCAACAGTGCCCAGTATACGTCTGATCTAATATGGAGCTATTTTATTTTGCTCTTATGTAGGAATGTGGTAGGAAGCTGAGTGTTTATCCTAGTTACCTCTTCACATTATAAATAGAACATTCATTAGAAAATTTTCATCTTGACCTGAAATTTTGTTTTTCACACAAATAGGAAAGTAGTGTTTGTTATGTAAAGTTGAAGAAAGCTTGTTTGAGACACTTTTAGATTGGGTAGATTGTTATTTACACTTTTTACATTTCTTGTTTTACATTTCCCTCACCATCACATAATGTAAATCCCTAGGGATTTTTGTCTAAAGATACCGAATTTTGTACTTATTCTGCTAAAATAACCAGCAGAATAATAAATAATTAAATTAAATAAATAATTTTCAATAACGGTTGAAAATTGATGAACCAGTTACTGTAACTCTGGAAAGTATAATAGTTGTGCAAATGTGAATTGTAAAAGAGTGTGTACATTTTAGACTCTTGAGTTTGTGCATGTTATCTAAAGATTGATAACTAAATGATAATAGTACTAAAATTTAACTTCAGCTCAATCTCTTCCCTACACATTGGACCCACATTTCCAACTATGTTCCTGTGGAGAAAACCAATGCCTGCCTTCCCACAGAAGTCCCCTACGCAGGGAGGGTACTTACAAAATCTCTACTTACCCAGAAGAGTGCGTTTGTCGCCTTTGAACACGTAGTTGCCTGGTATAGCTCATTGGTGAGTGATATTGACTGATGTCACCACCCTGCATAGATTGGACCTTTTAGGTTGAACTATGTGAAATTGCCATTTCTATAGTAAAAAAAATTATCAACCTTATATATCCATTTAAGGGTACTGAGTTTGGGAGTGTGGAGTCGAAATATCCTGGACTTGGAAAATAACTTAAAGATCAATTTATTCAGCTTCCCATTGGATGCTGGAATTGCCTTGATAGCATTCCTGACAAATGGCCATCTGGCCTCTTTGGGAGCATTTTAGATCATAGGGTGATCCTTGCTTGATCTAGTAATTTAGCTCCCAATAAGCTCTTATACAATCCCTAAAATTTAAAGATTTTATTTAGAAATAAAAATCACCATATTTGGCTGCCTGATTTGGAGGGCATCCTACTGTCCTGGTTAACCTCATCTGGATATATTCCAGATTGTGTCCTTTTAAAAATATTATGCCTGTGAATATAATATTCTTGGTATGGTCCAAAATAATCTGTAGTAGGTGTTATTTCCATAAACTCAATGCTTTTCCAATGAAACCTAAGATTATGTTTGCAGCTGTGTCACACACGCTGTTACCTTCTCTTGTTTCCACATGAGCAATTGTCAAACCCTTTTAAACAGACTGTGGGGGCTTCCCTGGTGGCGCAGTGGTTGGGAGTCCGCCTGCCGATGCAGGGGACACGGGTTCGTGCCCCGGTCCGGGAAGATCCCACGTGCCGCGGAGCAGCTAGGCCCATGAGCCATGGCTGCTGAGCCTGCGCGTCCGGAGCCTGTGCTCTGCAACGGGAGAGGCCACAACAGTGAGAGGCCCGCGTACCGCAAAAAAAACCAAAAAACAAAACAGACTGTGAATGGAGATGCCTACTGCCTATATTCTTGGACTGGGAGTTAGGAGAGACCTAGTTTCTAGGCTTTGATCAGTGTGTGATTTGTTGTGGGATCCTGGAAAACTCTGACAGTCTGAAATGCTCATAACAGAGGCAATGGGAAAGTTATATGAGGTAACACAGAAAAAGCTCCATACTCATCAAATGAAAAGCCAGGAATAACAAAATTACAGCTTTCTAAATATGAGAAGATATGCAAATGCATGTCAGTAAGAACTTGGAACCCATTTGCAGCATATGTTATATTTTAATTGACTATAGAAATTAATATTGTTAGAGCCCCAAAGACTGATCCTTGGACTTCTTCCCTTCTGTGTTTATCTCTTCCCAAGGGAACTCATTCAGTCTCATAGTTTTAAATACCATATATTGGTGTTTGATTCTCAGATTTTATCTCTAGCCCAAATCTTTCCTCTGCACCCTAGCCCCAGATATTCAACTACCTGCTCAGTCCTTTCACTTGGATGTTTTATAGGCATCTCAGCTCTCCCATGTCTTAAAAACTGAATTGCTGAATTCCAACCTTGTCCCTCTTCAGTCTATTCTCAATGCTGCAGCCAGATTCATTTTTTAAAATAAGTCAGATCGTATCACTTCTTAGCCCCAAACCCTCCAGTGGCTTCCCAGTCTCGCTCTGAGTAGGAGCTAAAGTTCTCACAATGGCCTACAAGACCCTATACCATCCACCCTCACATTATATTTCTAATCACATCTCTAATTTCCCAAACTTTCCTCCTCCCCTGGCAATTTTGTTCACTCCAGTCGTGCTATCCTACTAACTGTTATTTTGAAACATGCCACGCATTCTCCTGCCTTAAGGCCTTTGCACTTGCTATTTCCTCTGCCTGGAATGCTCTAGGATACACTCACTGGGTATCTTGCCTCCTTAGGTTCTTAACCAAAGATCACCTTCTCACTGAGACCTATCCTCTTAAAATTGTACAGACACCCCACACCTATCAAATTTTCCTCCTTTATTTTTCTCCATAGCACTTATTATCATATAACATATAATTTATTGTTGTCTTTCTTCCCTTACTTGAATATGAGATCCATGAGAGCAGAGATTTTTATCTCTTTGGTATTGCTCTCTTCCCACCACTTAGAACTGTGTTTGACACGTAAGAGGTGCTCAATAAATACATATTGGGGAAAGGTGTCCAGAGACATTCTTATACGACTTTACACCCCTGTAAAGGAGTATATACCTCTGATACACTTTCTGTATGTGAAGAGTTAGAAGGTTTATGACATTTCAAAAAAAGATACCTTCCTGTCCAAAGTGCTTGTTTTTCTGAAGATACTTAGAGTCTTACTTAGGCTGTGGCGTACTCTCCCTTCCTAATGATCCTAATACTAAGTTTTGCCGTGCTTTTATTTAGGAACCTCTTCTGGCCTTTTCAACCAGGCTCCTCCTGGGAATCACAGAACACAGAAAAGGATGGTTCTTCAAAGGATGGATCATAACTAGCACCCTGCTAGATGCAGAGGAGAGGCGTTAATTCATATATTCAGTGGATGCTCCAAGACATTAGGGCTTAATTCTAATGGAACCCAGACTGAAAGAGGCTACATCAATCCTTGAAATTATTTTATAAAAAACAAACTTCCAAAAACTCTTTCTCTAAGCACAAAACCCTTAAAAACAAATGAATAGAAGAGACTTTTCTTCAAAGTCAGATCATTCTCAGTGATATATTTCTGAAAAAGCTGTCTTTGCAGTGAGTTAATTGGTTAAGGATAAGGAAAGAGGACCAAAGTTCCTTAGTTCATAATTGGTTCTTCTAAAGCTTGAAGTATTTTCAGATTTTTCCAAATAACAAAGTTTTGTTTGTCTATATTTTGGTTGCTAACATAGCTTTTCACATATTTCTAGAGTGTTATCAATGAAATCTGCTGCACATTGACACACAGGTCATTACTGTTACTCTATTACCAAATGAATAGATTGGGTCCAAGAGGAATTGCCTGACTCAGAATAGCCTGATAGGACTAATTCAGCCAGAAGTCTGACTGCTTCTTCTCCTAGCAATAACCCACAATATCACAGCTTCTAGGAGGTAAGGCTTAATCAGGCTTGAGCCATAGAACGTATGTATGACAGTTCCATGGGATAGATTGTGGATTAGTGATTCACCAAATTATGTTTTGATTCTGAGATACCATGAAACAAGAGAACATCCCATGAAAGAGTTATTTTGTACTTTGTATTACTTTTCTACCTAGAAATTGAACCCTTTTTTTGTGATTATCTCATTTATTCATAAGATTTTTCTGGTGGGAGTTAGGGGAAAGGGAGAGCATGGGGAGAGAGAGGATCTATTATACTCCCTATTTTATGGTTGGATAAATTGAAAATTGGTCACTTAACCAATTAGAGGTGAAGCTAGAGCTAAGGTCTCAGACCTGTACTTCAGTAGGTGATTGTCTTGATTATCGGTTGTTCATTTTTAACTAAATTATGACTCTGGGCTTCATAATGTGCTGACAATTACAAACACTTTAGAAACTGTTCAAGCATGTATATATATATATATGTTGGGTTTCTCTAAATTTTCCTAGGAAGAATTTTTAATTCAATCTCAACTATTTTCATGAATATGCTACTTTAAATATAGTGGCAGAAATGAGTTATGGATTTTAAAAAAATGTTATGTTAGTTCAGGAATAATCTTTCCACTGTGTTTGCAACAATAGCATTCTCTTGGTCTAAGTGTGTCAGCCATTTTGCATTCACATATTAGTACAGTCTAGACAACTGATACTTTTGGATCTCCCTTGATAACAGGTCTGTATAAAGGGCTCTTTGAAAACAAATCCATTTTGACTCAAAGAAAAAGATTGGTTGAACTAACTATAACCAGTTGACTACTGTTAAGAAAAGAAAATACAGTTCTTTCCCTTTAGAAAGGGGAAGTAGTATAAATAATTTTTTTCTTTGAGTTGGAAGAAAACCAAAAATTTGAGTACTTCTCTTAAGGAGAATTTTAGGGGGTTTTGTTGTTTGGTTGGCTTTTTTCCCCTGACTCGTCCTTAAAAGCTGAAGAGGCATAGGGAGAGGAGAGCTATTCTGGGTAGAGTTAGGACTCCAGTCTCAACCTTTTTCATCACTGCCAGCCAACCACCTGCTGCTTGGGTAGATTAATAGATGACGGAGGTAGAGAAAAAAAGAAACTGCTAAATAATATTGTATGTATGTCATTCCTTTCCCATTCAAAATCCTAGAGCTAAGTAAGAACCCTTAAAGATGTTATATTTGGTATTGAATTAAAAATATGTACAAAAAACAGTAATAATACCAGGTATCATTTACTGAGTGCTTAATTACTTTATGCCAGCATTGCACTAAGCACTTTATGTACATTATTTTATTTAATCTTCTCAACAACTTGATTCTGACAAATCATGTCTGCATATTATATAGTCTGCTTCATAGCACATATTACAGCCATATAGAAAGAAAAACTCTAAATAATTAATTCTGTAATTAGTTATTTCATGTCTGACTCACCTACTAGACTGAAAATCCCATGAAGGCAAAGACAATCGATATCCGTCCTGTATCCCCAGCACTTAGACTGTGCCTGGTACATAGTAGATGCACAATAAAATTCATTGACTGAACAACTGAATGTGTGAATGACTGAATACATGAATGAATTAACAACCCTATGAAAAAGGTTCTGGTGTCACCTCTACTTTATACCCAGAAGCAGAGACTGAGACTTCAACCAAAATCTCTCTGACTCCAGAACACTTAACCACTGTATTTAAATGGCCATTAGGGAGCATAAAAATCATCATGGCTCTGGAAAAGGATTTTAAATTTCAGGATACTCTGAACGTGAAGACTTTCTTCAAAAGCAACTTTTCTATAAATTTGGATCAGGATTAGGATGGCTGTTATCTTTCTTCTCCCAGGTGATAGAAGCATGGTTCCCCTAAGCCTCCGACTCATAAGCCATTTCTGAGTATTGATTGGTGAAACAGGTGACTGCCCAGGCAACTGTTTCTGGGCTCTGTTGCCAAAGGTACTTTGAGCTCTCACTCACCCTAGGAGGGAGAACCATAGACTTTTTGTACAGATTATCTCCTTTCAAGAACAAAAGTCCCTTTGGGGATTTATTAATTCCCCCACCTCCCCGGGTGCTCATGTTCTTTCTTGTTGCCTCGTGTTAGGACTTTGCTCTAGGGCAGTTTTCCAGCTCCAAGAGAGACACTCGGGCCCCTGCTGCCCAAACATTTTGTAGCACCATGCTTGATTAACTGGGCAAGGTCAGACTTGCCTTTTACAGCCCTCCCAGAGATAGACCCTTTGCTAAGAAATCCCAGAAATGCCTTAATTCTCTGGATATAAGTAGATCAGGAGACCCTAGGAGCTCTGAGCTTTTGTAGCTTTCTCCCCTTAAAAATGATGGAAGTACTTCTTATCTCATTGAGAAATATATAATGCTTTATAGACAGTGCTTTATGTCCCCAACCTTCCTCCCCTCAAAACCTTGAGGACTGCTTAGGAAGAAACTATCCTCAGGAACTTAAACATAAATCAAAGAAAGAGATTACTTCAAATCATCCAGCAAATGATTAGCAACTACAGAATTATATGAAGACTAAAAAGACCTCAGTCAAACATGGGAATGGCAGCAGCCGTAGCTGCCTATTAGCCACAATCAAAAGTCGTAGACCTTCCACCCTCTAGTGTATGTTGCTAAATGGATTAGTCATCAGAGCATTTAATTATACTGAAAGAGGGTTTATCTGCTTCTCTGGGAATCTAAAATGCCTAATGCAGGACCCACTGAGGCCAGCAAGAAGGGAGAGCACACTGAATACTTCATTGTCAATGTCTAATTGGGTCTGCAGGCATAGTTCAGCCTCATCAGAGCCAGTCTTAAAAAAGAAAGCTCTGTTTTGTCAGACAAACACTTTTTGTGTGGTTCTTAATTACTTTCCCATGGGTTCCTTGTTTTCTAGGTCTTATCTGTTCAGTTACTGTACTGAAACACAAATTACATCAGGTGTTTGAGCAGCAAGCAGAGAAGGGTAGCTAGGATCCCAGAAACCCATAGGTTAATCACCATGATCATGCATTAAGAACTTGAACCTATTGCTACAGTGGTATAACCTCTCTCTTTTTTCATTTTCAAGGACTTCTGCATGTTCTGAAGATAAAGTTAGCCTTAGATTCCAAGTTAATGCTACCCAGGGGGGATGTCTTTGGCAACGTCTCTCAGCTTCCTCTTTCTGGCCTGCGGATAGCACTTCCCATGGGTGGTGATTGAGACAGCTCCTTGGTGCCACTTAGGTGCTTGCTTACCAAATGTGTAAATTTACAAGGTGCTGGATTACTAGAAAAGCCTCAGTTCACTCCACGGTTTGGAGTTTTAGAGGAATCCATTTTTTCCCCTAAAGGTATTTTATTTTGTCATTCCAGCTGCTTCATATACAGATAGCTCTGATGATGAGACATCTCCCAGGGACAAGCAGCAAAAGAACTCTAAGGGAAGCAGTGACTTCTGTGTCAAGAACATCAAACAGGCGGAGTTTGGACGAAGAGAAATTGAAATTGCTGAACAAGGTAAGGAAAATAAACACCTTTTCCTCTCAAGCTGCCTGTGTCTTTTTGTCCATGTTAATTCATTTTTACATCCTGGGCTCTAGTAGTTTGTGAAATTTCAGTGTGATTTTGAAGAATACTTATAACAAAAGAAATATGGGCTCAGGAAACACTGTGGGGAGGGAGTAAACTCTAGAGGGTCTAGAAGGAACAAGGAAGAGGGAGAGAGAGACTAGATAAGGGGGACTGGGATATAGGGAATTAAACATTGGACCATTTACCTCTGGAAGTCTCTTATAACAGAAAAATCAAGTTTAATGTTTTGATCCCTTGAGAAACTTAATCTAACAGAGAACCTGTTTGGGGAAGGATCTTATCTTAAGAGAGTACCTTTTTCTGTTATTCTTTACCTCTCATCCCTCCTCTCTAAAATTGCTGCATGTGTATTGGGCCTTTTCAGAAATGCCGGCACTGATGGCTTTGAGGAAGAGAGCTCAAGGAGAGAAACCTTTGGCCGGAGCCAAAATTGTGGGCTGCACACACATCACTGCTCAGACTGCTGTGAGTCCTTTTCCTTTCTCTACATAACAATAGTTAATAACAGCCACCAGCTATTGAGGGCTGGCACATGCCAAGCACTAGTTCAGAGCTTAACAAGCACTCATTAACCCTCATAATGGCCATGTAAAAGCACATATTCCTGTTTCCATTTTATAAATGAGGAAGCTGAAGCTCAGGGAGTTTAAGTAATTTGTCCAAGGTTATACAGCTAGTAAACCACAGAATCGAGATTTAAACTTCAATATATCTGATTCCCAAGCTTATTCTTTCTCCAGTCTTCTCCACTGCTTCCCCTTATCTTCCCTTCCAGTGTCATTTCTACACAGCACCTCTGTGTTAGGCTGCTTTCAGCTGCAAATAAGAGAAAACCTGATTCAACCTGGATTGTACATAAGGGAATTCATGACATTACATAGCTAGAAGTCCAGAGGTAAGGTGGACTTCAGATGAAGGCTCTCAGGGCTCAGTTTCATCTATCTGTGATTTTCTTGGAGTTGCCTCCTCTCTGTGCTTACTTCATCCTCGGGCTGATAGCAAGATGGTTACAGCTGTTTAAGCCATCCCAGACTGACATGAAGAGGAAGAAGGACCATTTCTTCCTCTCTCCCAAGAGCAAGGAAACCTTTCCCAGAAGTCCTCCAGGGTACTCTGTCATGACACTGAGCAGAACTGGATCACATGCTCATGCCCCACCCGTCCTGGCAAAGGAACTGGGGTTACCATGATTGGTTTAGATCCGTAATTTTCACCCTTGTCAGATTCACTGACCCCTTTTGATTAAAAAATATGTTTTGCAACGGCCCAGTATTTTCTTGAAATGAAATTCAGATATAGCATAGCTAGGTACATATAATTTTTAAAAAATAAATGTAAAATCTTACTGAAATATGAAGGAAGAATAAAAGGAAAGCAATTTATAATAAAATAATGTGTATTTCAATATGTAAGTGCTTGGGTACAAGTAGAGTTGAATAGTCAGATATTTGTACTTACTTATAGCATTATTTGAATGTGAATGCTACAAATGTATATACATAGAAATGTGTTACTGGTTCCATAGCATCAGAGAAATATTGCCAAATTATATAATTTTCTGAAATTATAAACAACTTTTTGTAAATTTCTGAATAACAACAATATCAAAAATATGAGTTTTCTCTTGGTTTATACACTTGTTGCATTCTTGGAAAAACTATTATTGTTTTGTATTAAAACTACAACAATACCTTTGTTGATATGTAAAGTGGAATAAAGTTCTAAACTCAGGTAATTATAAATAGATTTCTCACTCATGTGAACTTTTCATTGGAACACTTGAAAATTATACCAGATATGGCATGGTTTTTTTTGTTCTAGGAGACTGTCCTACACTTCTGAAATGTCAAGATCCCTGGCCCTACCCACTAAATGCTAGTAACACTCCCCTACCAATTACCATGACAACCAAAAATGCCCCCACGGTTTTCCAAAGTTCCTCTGCTGAGAACCACTGACTTAGAGTTGTCATCATCAAAGATGCGATACATATTAAGTTGCCAACCGTAATGAGACCACTACAGGAAATCAGTGTATTAAGAAATTGTCTGGACTCTTTTATGGGATTTATAAGATCCAGGTCATTTGTATGACTAGATCTCTTCCAAAAGATTGTCTTGTAAACACGACACTATGTGGCCACATTCCTTATTCAGAATAGCAGAGATTCCTCAAGACACAGCTACTGTTAGCGTCTTCCCTGTGAGACTTTTCTGGGTTATGTGTTCTCTGAGGAAAAGGATACCTTGGTACCCCAAAATTAGTATAATAAATTGAAAAGCTATCACTTTTTGGAGCTATAGACTAATGAATCAAGGCAGAAACACTCTTGGAACCTTTTTTGGGCTTCCCCAGTCAGGGACATGAGACTTCAGTGTGGTGGCTTAAAATAGTGCTTCTGTACTGTCTCATGTTGCTAAATTACATCTAGTTTCTTTTTTACCCCCTGGCTCATAAACATTACCACTCTTCAAGGTTACTTTCTTTTTTTTCCTGAATGGAGTAATCGAAATTAGTTTACCAATTTTAATATTATTTTATTGTTCCCTCCCCACATTTTTCTGTTTCCTTTAAAAAAATAATTACAAAGGAATTTTGCTTTGTTTTTTTAATCTCTATTTTATTTTTCTGATTACAAAAGTAATTCATGTTCATTTTACAATATTCAAGCATTACCACAATCTATAATGTAGAAAGACAAAGTCTGCTATAATCCCATGCTCCAGAAATAGCTATCATAGTTAACAGTTTCCTGTCCATGTTTCTAATAGACTTGGATCTAAATATTTATATTTTTTAGGTGTGTTTCCATAGTTCCTTCCAACCAGATTCCTTAGCTACTCTCTCTAAACAGTAATGATTTAAAGTCAAGTTAAACCAGCTTCTGAGCTCTGTCCTTCTCCCACTTCTACCTGCCTTCACTTCTGCTTGAGCCCTAATAGCCAGCAGTCTTGACTCATAGTTCTTTAAATAGTTCTTATATTCTTGGTCCCAGTCACTTTTCTAGTTAATTTATATTGCTTTGTAGGTAAGTCTCAGTATCATTCTCTTGTTTGGCACGTTGAGGAATCCTAGTTATAGAAATTCAGAAATTCTTTAAGGTGAAAATTAAAATAGGATAGAAAAAAATTGGATTGGATATTGAAAGGTAAAGAAATTAAGATATAAGAGTAGTTCTGCTGTGGCCTTTGACGAATTATGTGAGAGAGTTAGCCTAGTGGAGTTGTTTGCACGTATTTTTTTTTAATTAGAGCATATTTTTAATTAGAATTTTTATTTTGTATATAAATATTAGAAAATACAAATTTTTTAAAATGAAAATTATCAGTACCCAAAGTTAAGCACTGTCAGGAAATTTTAAAACAAACTTTGTCACCAAAGATTTATCCATGTTAAAAGAGCTCTTAATCGAAGCAGTAGGGTGGTACATTACCTTCTTTTTTTTTTTAAATATTTATTCATTTATTTATTTGGCTGCATTGGGTCTTAGTTGCGGTATGCGGGATCTTCGTTGCAGTGCGCGGGATCTTTAGTTGCGGCATGTGGGATCTTTTTAGTGGTGGCATGTGGGATCTAGTTCCCTGACCGGAGATTGAACCTGGGCCCCCTCCATTGGGAATGCAGTCTTAACCATTGGACCACCAGGGAAGTCCCTATACTACCTTCTTATAAAGAAGCCTATCTCCATCTTACAAACTGAAGTGAAAGCAAGTCAGGATCAAATCAGTGGATTAAATTTATTTTAATAATTTTTAAAAATTTGAAATATACACAGATTTATAGAAAAGTTGCAAATACAGTACAGATAACTTTTTTTTCTGAACCATTGAAGAGTAAGTTGCCAGCCTTATGATGCTCCCACAAATACCTTAGTGTATATTTTCTACAAACAAGAACATTCTCCTGTCCAACCAGTACAACCATTCAAAATTAGGAAATTAACATTGATTCATTATTGCCATCTAATCCTCAGGTCCCATTGGAGCTTCACTAATTGTCCCAATAATACTTTTTTATAACCAAAGGATCCTGTCCATAGTTATGGGTCTCATTTAATTGTTATCTCTTTAGTCTCCTGCAGTGCTGGATAGTTCATCAGTCTTTCCTTGACTTTCATGACCTTGACACTTTGAAGATTATAGACAAATTATTCTGTAGTATGTCCTTAGTACGTAGAAAAAGATGCTGTGCTTTTTTCATTTAATCCTATCAGATGGCACTTGTTTTCGATTTGTCCCATAACTGATGTTCATTTTGATCCCTTGATGGAGGTGGTGTCTGCCAGACTTTTCTAGGGTAAAAGTTATCTTTCCCCTTTTGTAATAAGCATTTTGTGAGGTAGTAATACGAAACTGTGTAAATATCCCATTCTTCATCAAACCTTCCAATTATTCATTCATTTATGTATTTTTATTTGTGTGGAGTCATTGTTTCCTATTTTATTTAATGGGTTATAATCCACTACTATCATTATTTATTATGATAAAAATTGTTCCAATTTTGGCCAAGAGGAACCCCTGAAGTCTTGCTTCTGTGCCTTGTCTCTTGACATATCCCTTTCATTCTTTGAGCACTTCCTTGCTTCTGGTACAAGATGATCTAAGCTCATTTTGTACCTTCCCTGTCCTATCCCTGGAATCAGCCATTTCTCCAAGGAGCCCTGGTTCCTTTTCCTTTTAGTGGATCTGTACGCTAGTGTACTCTTTGCTATTGGGATATCATTGTTCCTGGATCCTCTTTCATTAATTTTCAAAAATAATTGCCCATTAACTCTTCATATATATCTTTTGCCCTGTTCTCTCCTTCTGTAAATTAGGCCATTGATAGTATCCCATAGATCTTAGATGCTCTCTTCTGCTTTTTTCCCCCACTCTTTTTTCTTTCTGTATTTCAGTTTGGTGATTTCTATTGATCTATCTTCAAGTTCACTGACTCTATCCCTAGATATGCCCAGTCTGGTGATAAGCCTAATGAAAGAATTCTTAAATCTGATCCTTAAAAAAAAAAAAAAATTCTGACATTTCTATTTGACTTGTTTTTATAGTTTCCATCTCTATGCTGAAATTCCCTACCTGTTCATGGATGTTGTCCATCTTTTTCACTACATCCCTTAGCATAAATATATTAATCATAGTTAATTGAAAGTTCCTGTCTGATCAAACATCTATCTCATCTCAGAGTCTGGTTCCCTTGAATACTTTCCTGACAATGGGTTGGGGTTTTTTTTCACTTTTTTTGGCGTGCCTTGCAATTTTACATTGAATGGTAGTATATTATTTTCCATTATTGTCATGAATTGGGCTGGATTTCAATTCTATTGTTCCATACCAAAGGCTACAAATTCCCCCAGGCTGGAGGGCTCTCGTACTCCTCAGTGTTTGCACTTCACCTTCGGGCTTTCAGCCGCTTCTGCACGTGTTTGCCACAGGGGGGCTCTGTCTTCAAGTGCATGTCCTCCCTGCAGCACACGACTGCTACTCCTTGTTTCCTGGAGCTAGGCTCAAGGTGAGGGCAAGTGGGGTTCTTAGATTTTCTGGTCCAGCCTCGGTGTTAGGCAGGCCTCTGTGAGGGTAGGACTTTTTCAGTGTTCCTGCCACTCCTGTCTGTAGCAGCCAAATTTTGCCTTGTATTGGTGGTAGGTCTTGAGCAGAGATATTTTCCTGTCCCTCCTGGAGAGGTAGCAGATTTTTACTTTGTATCAGTGTAGGGTCCTGGGCCCAAGAGGATTTTCTGCTACTCCGCCAGGAGCAGAGAGTTTTTGCTTCCACCCTTCCCCAGAAGCAATGGCTCTTTGCCTGGTCCCTGGTGGCAGGCATAATTCCTGCTCCTCTTGCTACAGTTTAAGGCTTTTGCTTCCTATGAGAGAAGACTGTGGAGATGTGCCGAGGTTTCATGCTTATCTTTGAGCACAGCCAATCAGCTCCCTGCCCCCAATCTTTCTTGTGAACCCTGGTTGGAAGCCCCTAGAAAAGAGCTTGCATGTGAGTATGAACTCTCCTTATGCCTGGGGCTACAAGAAGTTCCAAACTGACATACTTTCCCACACTCAGCCTTTACTAATTCATTAAAATTTTAGCTAATTTTTTCTTACCGTGATGTATGGCAGCCACCTCTTCCTTCTGTGCTCTGACAAGGGTGAAACAGTGTTCCCTCTCTCCTTAAAGGGATTTGTTGCTCTTTGGAGTTCCTTGGTTGCATTATGACCTCAGCTCTTTGATGTACTCAAGAAAAGTTACGGTTTTGTAGATTATCCAGCTTTTTCTTGTTGAGGTGGAAGCTTCTCTTGCAGCTTTCTACATCCTAAGGAGAAGCAGAGCTATAAATTTGTGGTTTTTAAAAAGATGTTTGGCACTGAAAGCCTTGGTTTAATTAAATCTTACAGGGAGGCCCAATATGTTAAATGAGTAAAAGCATACAGCTCAGCTGGAGCCTTCCCCATGCCTACCCCCAACCCTTGCCCTCTTCTCAAAGTATTGAAGTTTCTGTAAAGCACAGTTTGAAAATCATGGGCGTTAGTTATTCCTAATGTACTTTCTCATTGTCAAATATGTAAACTTAATCTCCTTGACCAATTGTTTGGCCCATGCTTGCTCATCTCCTGCTTTCTCTTTAATATAGGTGCTTATGGAAACTCTGGGCGCTCTGGGGGCACAGTGCCGATGGGCTGCCTGCAATATCTATTCCACTCTCAATGAAGTGGCTGCTGCTCTAGCAGAAAATGGTAAGACCTTTTGTGTGTTCTCTTTGTCTTTGACTAAAGTTTCCAAAAAGTTCCATTGTTTCAATAAATATCTGTAAGGAAAGTTGACATTTAAAGTTGTCTTGAAAGAAATATTCTTTTTTTTTTTTTAGTTGAAGTATAGTTGATGTACAATGTTGTGTTTGTTTCAGGTATACAATAAAGCGATTCACTGTATATGTGTATCTATATCTATCTATCTATCTATCTTTTTTTCAATTCTTTTCCACTGTAGATTATCATAAGGTATTGAATGTAGTTCCCTATGCTATACAGTAAATCCTTGTTGTTTACCTATTTTATATATGGTAGTGTGTATCTGTTAATCTCCCCCTTCCCCTTTGGTAACCATAAGTTTGTCTTCTGTGTCTGTGAGTCTTTCTGTTTCGTAAATAAGTTCATTTATACTATTCTTTTAGATTCCGCATATAAGTGATATCATGTAATATTTGGCTTTCTCTGACTTAATTCACTTAGTATGATAATCTCTAGGTCCATCCATGTTGCTGCAAATGGCATTATTTCATTCTTTTTTGTGGCTGAGTAATATTCCATTGTATGTATACACCACATCTTCTTTATCCATTCATCTGTTGATGGACACTTAGGTTGCTTACATGTCTTGGTGGGTCCCTATTCTTGATGAGTTTGCCCTCTTTCTGGGCTTCTCTTGTTAAATATGATCGAGGTAACTGTGTTGCTTTACAGTCACAAATATCTTCTTATGTCTAATATTCCATTATTAGTTAATGCTTTGCCTTGTCAGAGCACCAGTGAACCTTATTCACTGTCTAAGGTCATATGGATTAGAAAAGAAAATGCTTCAGGCATAATTTTGTGGTCCAACTGGTTTTCAGCAGTTAATGTTTGGTGCTCTGCTTCAGCGGTAAACAGGACTTGACCTGGCAGATTAATATTTGATAACAACAGCCACTGACACTTGAAGGACAAAAGAAATAGAGAAGTTTGGACTTTGCCAGTTTCTTGCCTTCACTCTCTGATAGCCCAACACAGATCAGGATACCAAACACTTGCTTCAGAACTATTGAGAAATTCTGGGAAAGCTCTATAGTGCATGCATACCTCTCTTTTTGCAAGCACTTTGAGCATTTTATTTGTTCTTTCATTTACAGTCATTCATTTGTAAAATTTTTATTAATGTATAAAATATGTATAGAAAGTACACATATATAAACATATAGTCCAATTGATTGTACATATACATTCATTTCGCTTTTTTTTTTCAACAAATGCTTATTGACCTACTTTAAGGACAAATGAGAGTGTCTTTGCCCTCAGAATCTTATATTGTGGTTAAGGAGAAAAGACACATATATAAATAATGATAATACAAGGGCATATATGATAATGCCACAACAGATCATAAACCCACATTTAGTATACCAACAAGGGACTTATAAAAGTTCAGATTCCATGTGAGATCACTTTCAGCTGAGTTATAAGGCTTCCTTAAGGAGCATGATACTTAACTGGGTAATGAAGTGTAACAACATTTGAACAGAGGGAGAAGAGTGTAAGAGTTTTCCTGATGCAGAGGATGGGATGACTAAAGTATAGAAACAAGAAAGATCAAAATGTAGTTGGGAAATGATGAGAATTCCAGTTGGACTGGATGAAGAAGTACATATTTCTGGTTTCTTCTTTTTTGCCTTTAGTCATACTTTTAGCATCCGTCATACTCTTGGCCCTTTTGTTTGTCCTCTTTGGTCTAACAAGAGTGAAATGACCACCAAAGACAAAGACGAGTATAAAAGGACTGAAGAAAGTCAACCCAAGAAGTATAGCAGAATGAGAGAGCTTGAAATTGGGGAAAACCAGCATCTTCTTGCCAAAATTTAGGGTCAGCCCTTTTTTCAGGCTTTAATGGTTTCTCTTTGTTCTTTTTTCTCAGGATTTCCTGTGTTTGCCTGGAAAGGAGAGTCAGAAGATGACTTCTGGTGGTGCATTGATAGATGTGTGAATGTGGAGGGCTGGCAGCCAAACATGGTGGGTTAGATCTCTGCCAACACAATTCTGTTGGGGCCTGGAGGTATAGAGAGGGAGAGTGTGGTCTGGGAGAGGGTTTCCCAGCAGGAAGGAAGGCAAATGCTTCCTTTTCCGTCTGATGTACCTGGGCTTCCGGCAGAACTAGATGCTTATGCTTAGGGCATCCCAAGAATATTCAACCTCTTTATAGCCTCAAAGTGCTTTTCATTGTCAGTGCTGACCTCAGAAGCACTCATATTCATCAGCAACATTAAAATACCGCTCAGGGTTCACACATGACTGGTTAAAAAGTAAGATTAATGAGTTACCATCCCCTACCACTGCTTACCACCCCCCCACCCCCACCCACCCCGCCCGACAACATCAATGATTAAAGCACACACACGCACACACAGCTCCTATGGTACTTAGCTTTCTTTCTAGAATCACGTGCTAAATTTATAGTAAACCTGAAGGGATTCCAAGTTCAAATTTCTTCTCTTTATTCATTTCTCACCTGAAGAAAGACGAATAGGCAAAGTTTGGGGTTTTTAATTTTTGCTTAGTTTTTATTTTTGTTTCATTTTTTAAAAGATCAAGTGCTTGAAGGCTGAGAGCATATTAGATTCACAAGGGGAAGCAAAAAGCTTCACAAAGTACGATGCACTCCTGCTTTGCAAACCTTTCTGCATATGGGTGAGAGGAGAAATTAGGGAATCAACTGAAACAAGAATCCTTGAAGCTCTAGTCCAACTATTGCTTACTGCTAAAGACTGCAGAGCAGGCTTCATCTGGGACACAGCAGAGAGAAGCAGCCTGTCTTTCTGGATTCTGATCCAGGCCATGTTGCACCAAGTGTTGGTTTGAGGAAGCTGGGTTAAAACCTTCATATCCTGAAAGGGAGGGAGGAGTCGGCTATAAGATGAGTCAGCGCGTTCCAGCGGAGTTTAACGGTGGCAGAAGGGAGTGTGACTGACAGGTGCTAAAGAAGATATGCCAGGGGGGCTCTACTGGAACTAAAACATTAATTTTATAGTCATGAACATAGGGAGGACAGGGGATTGTACATGGCGAGCTTTTATAGACTGTAGAGCCAGCACACACTGCTGGAAGGGTTGACGAAGAGAGTAAGACAAGGTTAAGAACAACTGTGACCCCAGAAAACAGGATCCATATCTTTTTGGATCCTGTCAAGATCTTGTCAAGTGCTTTTACTTGCTTGCCAACTTCAGGAAGATTCCCAGGTGGCAATAATTTTCTGCAGTAGGACAACAGGGTGAGAATTATGGGCTACATTCATTAAATAAATATTAGGGATAGCAACTACCTGCCTGTATTCGATACCTGTGTTAAAAGGGAAAGGTGGACGAGAATACTGAGACTAAGACACAATCTTTTTTGTCTCTGATCTTTTGTGTGGCTAGGGATCAGAGGCTGCAAGGAAAAACTCCATGAGGGATTTCATACATGTAAAAAGGGAGAGAGAGGGCTTCCCTGCTGGTGCAGTGGTTGAGAGTCCACCTGCCGATGCGGGGGACACGGGTTCGTGCCCCAGTCCGGGAAGATCCCACATGTGGTGGAGCGGCTGGGCCCGTGAGCCATGGCCGCTGAGCCTGCACATCCGGAGCCTGTGCTCCGCAACAGGAGAGGCCACAACAGTGAGAGGCCTGCATACAGCAAAAAAAAAAAAAAAGGGAGAGAAACTCAGAGGAGCCTTTCCGTTTCTTAGGGAATCTGTTCTGAAGGTTTCTACTGGGAGAAAATGGAGCACTATCTTATGGTATGGAGCAAGTGTAAGAGTTTTAATAAGAGTCCTGCCTTGGATCCCTGCTCTCAAATAAGGTTTAGTGGAATCAGAGAAAATAGATCAACAACAAGAGCAGAAGTGGGAATTCCCTGGCGGTCCAGCAGTTAGGACTCGGTGCTCTCACTGCCAAGGGCCCGGGTTCAATCCCTGGTCAGGGAACTAAGATCCCACAAGCCGAGCGGTATGGCCAAAACAAAAACGAAAACAAGAGCAGAAGCAAAAAAGATCAGGTGGTAGACATGAGGTTGGAGATTTTCTGTACCCAGGTGTCCAGGATGGCATCTTTGGCACTTGTAGTAGAGTTGATAATTGATGGGACTGCAAAATGGGTGCTTGCCAGTGGAGGGCAGCTTAGTCCTGTGGGTCTTTCCAGGAGGGTGGGTGTAACAACTTGGAAAGTCCTGCCAAGCGTTTCTAACAGTTAGGTGAAGGGCTGAAATGCCACAGCCTACTGCCTAATAGTATTCTAAGCTGGTCTTTCTTTAGCTTATTTATAATTCAGAAACTTTCCTCTGCTGATGAAAGCTCCAGTGGGCACAGCATTGTGTTTATCTTTAATCCCAACCTGAAACAGTGATGAGCTGTTCAGAGGCATGCTTGCACACCTACATGCTGCACAGTTCCCTAGTTATTTTTAATTTGGTTGATAGAGAGTGTGAGGTTGTGCTAGGCAAAACCCTACAGTGCTGCCTGATCATTTTGGATAGGAGAGTGCCTGTACTTTGGGAGAAGTAAAGGATTAACGAATACACATTTGTAAGCCATTGTTCTGGGAGGGAGACTAATTATCTGGCTTTATTTAAACTAAGCTTTTACTGATGATATTTAAAGTCCTGAATTCAACCAATATAAATATGCTAATATCAAGTTTAGGCTTTCTGACTACCAACAGTACAGCCGAGAGCTAATGGTCTAGGTAATCACTTAAGCTATTAGTCCATAAGAAAATCCTCATTGCGCTGCTGTATATTTTGATCCTAGCGGGTATGTCATTTGGGAAGGTCACTTGGCTGTGAGAATTACAGTTGGCCTTTCATTTCACTGTTTTTTTGTTTGTTTGTTTGTTTTTGACTGCGTTGGATCTTCGTTGCTGTGCGCGGGCTTTCTCTAGTTGCGGCGAGTGGAGGCTACTCTTCATTGCGGTGCGCGGGCTTCTCATTGCGGTGGCTTCTCTTGTTGCGGAGCACAGGCTCTAGGCATGCAGGCTTCAGTAGTTGTGGCATGTGGGCTCAGTAGTTGTGGCTCATGGGCTCTGGAGCGCAGGCTCAGTAGTTGTGGCGCACGGGCTTAGCTCTTCTCTAGCATGTGGGATCTTCCCGGACCAGGCCTCGGACCCATGTCCCCTGCATTGGCAGGCGGATTCTTAACCAGCGCGCCACCAGGGAAGTCCCTCACTTGTTTTTTTTTCTTCAGTGTAATGACTGTTGGTCATTATACTGACTCTTAAGTTATTTTGCATAACCATTTGGGAAGTTTGAAATATGACATTATTGATGCTTATTATTGCAGATCTTGGATGATGGAGGGGATCTTACTCACTGGATTTATAAGAAGTATCCCAACATGTTTAAGAAAATCAAGGGCATAGTGGAAGAGAGTGTTACTGGAGTCCACAGGTAAGATTTGACATGGGTACGCCTAGTTTTATGCAGCCTGGACATATATTCTTTTACAAATTTTTATTTATTTACTTTTGGCTGCGTTGGATCTCTGTTGCTGTACGCAGGCTTTCTTTAGTTGCGGCGAGCGGGGGCTACTCTTTCATTGCAGTGCACGGGCTTCTCATTGTGGTGGCTTCTCTTGTTGCGGAACACGGGCTCTAGGCGCTTGGGCTTCAGTAGTTGTGGCACGCAGGCTCAGTAGTTGTGGCGCACAGGCTTAGTTGCTCTGCAGCATGTGGGATCTTCTCAGACCAGGGCTCGAACCTGTGTCCCCTGCATTGGCAGGCAGATTCTTAACCCCTGCACCACCAGGGAAGCCCCTGGATATATATTCTTATAATCACATACTTATAGAATACATTATGTTAAAAATTGAAACCTGATCTGAAATGATGAGATCTGAGTCTGCACATTTGTTTTTTTGTCTTTTTTTTTTGCGGTATGTGGGCCTCTCACTGTTGTGGCCTCTCCCGTTGCGGAGCACAGGCCCTGGACGCGCAGGCTCAGCGGCTATGGCTCACGGCCCCAGCCACTCTGTGGCATGTGGGATCTTCCTGGACCGGGGCATGAACCCGTGTCCCCTGCGCCAGCAGGCGGACTCTCAACCACTGCGCCACCAGGGAAGCCCTGCACACTTGTTTTTTAAATTAACAACACAAATAGGAAACTTAAAATAGTGAGGGGGGAGTAGCTAAGGGAATAAGTGTGGTCCTCATGTTTTCTAGTCATTGTAATACAATGACCGCTTGTCCTCTTTGGACGAATTCATTTATTCAACATCTATTTATTGAACTTCTTCAGTGGACCAGGAACTACTCTAAGAACCATGCTAGGGATCTAGCAGTGGGGAAAACAGACAAAAGCCTGGGCCCTCATAGAGCTTATGTTCTTACACAGAGAACAAGGATTTAGGGTTCTGTTTCTCAAATGAGCATTAATTCCCTGAGTAAAATTGTAACCATTTCTGTTTCCTGTTATTTACCCAGAAAGAACTGAAAGTATGAAAGTTTTAGGGAAGTAAATTTTGAATAAGCCACCATCACTGCTTCAATATACTGTGATCTTTTTGAATGTATAAAACTATGGATTGTCCCATATTTTCGAACTTTTAGAAAGGGATGAATTTTGAATAAAACACCTGGTTCTAATTTTTAGTTGACTCAGTTTAAATAAAACCCCTATATACAGATATACATATTTATAGGTATATGTACTGAAGTTATAAAATTGAGACTATTGGAAAGTTAAACTATTTGAAAGTTAAAATTGTTGCATTAGAGTAGTGGGATTAAAATAGTACTTAAAGTTTCTCTTTTTATAATTAAAAAGGGAAACAAAACTAATAAGCAATTAAAAATTTTACATTTTAATGCTTAAAATTTAGTGGTGGGTCAAAGATTTTCCCCACGTGCCTTTTGATTAATATCTTTATTTCTAAGCTGTATACAGATTCTGGAAAGGTATTCTTTATTTCTCTGTATACACCTTATAGGATGAAATTAGTTGTGTCTCAGGCTCTCATGCCTACTCAATTAACTTATTTGTGAAATTTGATATGAAACTGATGGTCGATTGCAATATCTCATTGTTTTATGTTCTTCTTGATCTCCTTCATCCTCAGGCTGTACCAGCTATCCAAAGCTGGGAAGCTATGTGTTCCAGCCATGAATGTCAATGACTCAGTCACCAAACAGAAATTTGACAACCTCTACTGTTGCCGTGAATCAATTCTTGATGGGTAATGTTTTGTTATCTTTGGGATGAACTTGAGTTGTTGAATTGAGGTTCTAAATTTTTTGGTTTTGGTTATTTCTAGAAATGATTTGTGTAGTACCTCTGGATCTATTGCTACATCATACTCAATATTTTGTAACCCAAAGCTACCATTGCTGTCACTTACATCACACTCAATATTTTATGACCCAGAGCTACCATTGCTATCACTATTTCAAGCAAATCTATTTTACTTAAAACGTCAGACCAGCCCTTATCTATTGGTGGCAGTTTTTACAGTCACCCTATCAGGCCTGGGAGTCAGTAACTAAAGTCATTATAAATAGGTAAATATCTTTGATGGTTTAGGAAAAGGTTCCTGGTATTTCTCTTCCAGGTTATGTTGTCAGTTCTTAAGCACCAACTATCATACAATTCTCTGGCCATCTGGAAAGTTGTGGTGAGCACAGGGTTATTTCCCAGTGGCATTTGTAGTTTTTCAAATCTGTAAGGACTGCAAGTCTGACAAAATCTACTTAGATATAATATACCAAAAATTGTGTTCTTCCAGTGCCCAGTTTCTGTTTCTACACTTGTGTCCTGAAATTCCTTCATTCTTGCTGGGAAGACTCAGTAATTCCCTATGTGAAACCATTAAGTTGGTTTAGAATATTGCCAAGCCAAATGGCTTCCATCATGTATTAGTTAATGGAAAAGTGAAGAAAGGGCCTGTGGGCCACATTACTAGTCTGAACCCCAGGCAATTTGCAACACCACAGGCACTGGAGCAAGAAGGACTTTGGTTTAACAATTGGCTCTATCATTTATTAACTCTAAGACCTCAGACTAGTTATTTAACCTCTCTGTGCCTATTTCCTCATCTGTAAAATGGTGACAGTAAGACCTATCTCATAGAGTTATTGTGAGGATTAAATGAGATAAGGTATGAAACCTGGGGATCAATGTTAGTTCCCTTGCCCTTCTTTCTAGAACCCTATATAGTAAGTTTAGGATTGAGTTAGATCTTATAAGAAGACTTTTACTTTGAAATCTTTTTTTTTTTGTGGGCCGGAGGGGGGTGTTCAATGCAAATTCAAAGTATTTTTAATTATTACTCCTATAGATTCAGTAGTATTATCAGATAGATTGGACATTTGAGTGAATCCTTACTCTATCAGTCTGTTTACAGACTGTCCCTAGTTCTGTCCACATATAACTGTTATTGTGATGCACAGCTTTGCACCTGATAATAATGATTTGGATATATACTCATAAAAATATTTACTCATCCACAACTGTTTCTTATAGATTTTTCAACTCCCAAATCTATGAGCCTAAAATCTGCCTATATTTAGTAAAAGATGCATGAAGGTACCTCTACTAGCTCATAAACATGGACAGAGTCCCTCCTAAGCAGTGTTTACCCTGTGGATAAGAAAGATACTTTAACATCAGAAATGTATGCAAGTGAAAGTAAGATGGAAGCAGTGGAGCTGGAGTTAAAGTTAATAAAGAAATAGGAAAAACATCACCCATCTACTGGAAACCTGAGTAGTAGTAAGAGCTTGTTGGCATCTTCAGATGGTGAAAAACTTTCCAATTGGGTCATGGGCAGTTGCTCCTCTCAGAGGAGTTGAGATGTGACTGGGTGCATTCAGGGTGGTATAGCCGTAGACTCAGAGGAGTTGAGAGTAGGAGAAGTTAAAGAAGCAGCAAAGTATGCTCCAGGGAAGGCTGCAAAATAGAGAGTCCATATGAGGAAAGGATTAGGGATTGAGCTTCTGTAGCTCTGAGCTGGTTGCACACTGCACCATAAGCTATGAGGGAATGGCCCCACTCAGTCCTAGAGGACACTTCTGTAATTGGTCTGCAATGCCAAAAAGCAAGGCAGGTGCAGCCTTATGGAGACTGAGGAAGGAAGACTTGGTAGGAAGAAAAAGGATATCCCAGATAGATTTTTAGATCATAAAACAGACCATATTTCAGGAACTCTTCTGGAGAGTTCTGGGGCTAGAAGAATTAGAGAGAAGTCAGAGACTTGGCATGACTCTTATACACCGCCAGACAGCTTACCCTCACATCCCCAAAAGTCCTTTCTTGACAGAGGTCTTTTCTATCCTTTATCCTTGAACCTTGAGGCAGATCTGGGTCCCTCAGATCACAAGGAAATCACTGCCTAACTGGAATCCACCCTGTCAGCCTATCATTTGCAGAGTAGTGGTGTTGATGAAGTTTCCCTTCCACCACACAGTCATTTGTAGTCACAAAGAGAGAGTCATCTTCCTTTGGGAAGAGAGTCAGAAAGGCTTGTGGGTAGTCAAAGCAAAGGAGGCTCAGAAATATGATTATTGATTTCCTTGCTGTGCTGAGCCAGTCAAGGACCATTCTAAGCCATGGCTTTTGAGTATGGTGGTAGCCCAGCCAGACTTACCCTCTTCACTCAACAGAAACTGCCTCTGCACTTAATTGATATTTATTGAGTTTCATTGGAGTTCATGGAGTTATACCAGTTCCTAGTGAGTGGAGTTGTCAAATCATTAAAAAGATAGGATTTCTACTTTGCCTTTGGGGCATTTATAGACTTTTCAACAGGAGAGGTTAACAGATGAGTAGAAAGACCTACAAATATTTGTCGGAACCATCTGTCTCAGAATGGCAGGTTTTAGTTGAAGTTTCTTCTGCCTAGCCAGGGCTTCCTAGAGAAGGGAGACCAACTGACCCTACAGAGAAACCAGAAACTGCTCCTACAACTTCTTCCAAGAGACCCTGAAAACAGTAAGGACCTTTATTCTAGCTTCATAGAGAATCAGAGACAAAGAGGTAGAACATGTCTGAGCAGGACTCAGCCCAGAAAACTCACTACCTCATGTAGTCAGTGTTGGTGTGTTTCAAGGCTCTTCTCCACCTTGTTGCCCATTACCCTCCCTGGTGAATTAATGTGGGACCTATTGGCGATTTTTTTTTTTTGTGGTACGCGGGCCTCTCACTGTTGTGGCCTCTCCCGTTGCAGAGCACAGGCTCCGGACGCGCAGGCTCAGTGGCCATGGCTCATGGGCCCAGCCGCGCCACGGCATGTGGGATCTTCCCGGACCAGAGCATGAACCCGAGTCCCCTGCATCGGCAGGCGGACTCTCAACCACTAGCGCCACCAGGGAAGCCCACCTGTTGGCGATTTTGATACTACTAAATGTAGGACTCATTTATCAGCATTATATTTTATGTGTCTAATTCAATAAGCTACAACGTTCACATTAAACCAGAGCTTTGTCACCTCCTAAATAAAAATTACATTTATATTTAAAAGTTACTTTGTGGTCTATAGCTTCTTCCCTTCTGTACCACTCTCAAAACAAGGGGAACAAAAAGAAAAAAGGCCTCACATAGAGATGGAATTGATTGGATAGCATGGATAAGAAAATACATATTTTGGGCTTCCCTGGTGGCGCAGGGGACACGGGTTTGTGCCCCGGTCCGGGAAGATCCCACATGCCGCGGAGCAGCTGGGCCCGTGAGCCATGGCCGCTGAGCCCGCGCGTCTGGAGCCTGTGCTCCGCAACGGGAGAGGCCACAACAGTGAGAGGCCTGCGTACCGCAAAAAAAAAAAAAAAGAAAAAGAAAATACATATTTTATTGAACTTTTCTTTCTTGTCATTAAATAGTTTCTCTAGGATAGAAACCAGGCTTGCTTTCAACATTTAAAAAAAAACCCAAAACCAAAAAAAAACAAAACCCAAACATGAAAACAAAGGGGCTCAATCTAATCTCAAGCGAGAAACAAGAGATTTTTCTGATTTAATTTTTTTTCCCCCATAGACTTAAAAGAACAACAGACATGATGTTTGGTGGGAAGCAGGTGGTAGTCTGTGGCTATGGAGAGGTAAGGTTTAACCTTTCAATTATTAGGTGTTTAAAATGTATTTTGCTGAAATATACTAGAATTTTTCACTTGTATGGACATAAAAGTACATTCATTTACCACTTTAAGTGGGACAAAAGTAACTTCAGAGGCCCTCTGGTTAAAGTACAATCTTTCTTTTTCCCATTGCATTTTTGCTATTTTTTCTTTAAGTTGATTTTCTGACTGTTCCAGTGCACTGTTTGTGATGTTCTTTTAGCTTGTGTTTTGATTATAAATCGTGAGTGTGGGTGTTCTTATGCACATGCATGTGCTAAGCAGGGTTTAGGAGTTTGTTTATGAACTGCATTCATTTTATTTTTTTTCTGATTTTTCCCTAAGCGTGAATCTATTCAGTGAAATTCCTTTTGGTGGCGGAAAGGGGGGTACACTTTACCAGAAGCTTTGAGAAACTGTTTTCTTTGTGACTTTCCTTATTATGTGTACTTTCTGCTCTCATCAGGTGGGGAAGGGGTGCTGTGCTGCCTTAAAAGCTATGGGCTCCATTGTGTATGTAACTGAGATTGACCCCATCTGTGCTCTTCAAGCCTGGTAAGCATGCAAAAGGAGATTTGCTTTTTCCTCTCACCACTGTCTAACATATTATCTTCTAACTGCCTCCGAAGAATGGCCTAGTTAATGCCACATTTCATCTTAGAGGGGCCTAGATCCTGAGAAGCTGCCCAGATCCTGAGAGGCTGCTATTAACTGTAAGCACCTGTCTTTCAAAGATCTAGGAGCTCTGCTCTGAGAGAGCGGAGGCTGGCAGAAGCTACAATTTAGAACTCCTGTGGAAATAGTAACAGGGGACACCTTGAACCAGAGAGCAAGTAGCCCCTTATCAGCTCCACATGCCATCCTTCTCCCTTTGAAAACAATGATCAAAAAAGAAATAGGCTGGCATCAGCTCCTTTCTGAAGTGATGCAATGAAAAGAGCACTTCTGTCACATTCCTCCCCAAAATGCATAACCTAATGTAATCAGGAGGAAATATCAGACAAACCTAAATGAAGGATAAACTCTACTAACTCTTACTGAAAGGTATATAGGAGTTGTTTGTACTATTCCTAAGTATGAAATGATTCCAAAATTAAAAGTTTAAAAAAAAAATAGTTCCTTTCCCATCTAAAAATGTGGATAATCTTATCTACTTCAATTATGAAAGTTCAGAAAATAATGATATAATTATTATACATTATATAATAAATATATAATTATGTAAAGTATAGAGGTGCTGTCACATAATAAATACCTCACTAAGTGGTAGCTATTATTAAAATTGTCTCTTGCCACCCTCAGCAGGATAAAATACCACTGTCCCTGAAAACTACTGCAAAGTCCCCATGCCTGTAGCCTTGAATAACCCATCCAATCTTTACCATTAACCCTCCAGAGGAAGGCACCCAGCATAGATGAGGCATGGCATAAAGATGTTTCCATAACCATTTTCCCCTGTCCTACCACTCCCCACACACCGTAGCCATCAACACACAGTTTTCCCCAACAGAGTTGTTGGCTTTGCCTGAGTCAGGGCTCCAGCACACGAAGGGAACTATCACCATTCTAGCACTTTTTCAGGGTTCATTAGAGAAACCTGAATGTGTTTTAATATTGACTGAGGTACTGATTGAAACTATCTTATAGACGTGAACTGATCACTTATTCTGTGTTAGGTACTGTGCTCTGTGCTGAGGATGAAAGATGAGACAAGGTCCCTGCTTTTAGAAGCACACAGACAAATAACCTCTGTGCAGTGTAGTAAGTGCTGTGATAGAGATAAACAGCACATGCTTCTGTAGGAGCACAAAGGAGGAATATCTAACTAAAGAGCAGGGCGGTGAGGGTAGAAAGAGGTGTCAATGGAGCTGAGTCTTAAAACTTATTTAAGTGACTTCTTAGTTTGGAAGTATGTTCCAGGTACAGGCGACATATGCAAGGTCACCTAGGAAGGAGAGAGCACAGCATGTTTATATTAAAGAAGCTGGAAGTGTTTTAATGGAGCTGCCCGATAGGATAAATTTGGGGGAGTGGTAATACCTGAGTAGGAATCATATGTCAGTATAATCATATATCAACATAAGTATTTGGGTCTTATCCTGATACCAGACAATGTCACCAAAGTATTTTAAGCAAGGAAGTGACATGAGCCAGATGGCATTTCAGGAAATCACTCTGCAAAATGAATTAGAGAGACATAAACCTAGAGGCGATGAGATGGGGCCAGGGGCTACTACAGCAAGAAATAATAAGACCTGAACATCAGACCTGCACGTATAGAAAAGAGGGGATAGATTAAGAATTAAGATTTTAAGGAATTAAGGAAAAAGACTCAACCAGATGTGGTGACAATTTTAATTAGGGAGAGGCAGTAGGCTAGGACATTCTAGTTTATTTGACTCGTAGAGCTGGGTGAACAGTAATGCTGTTGATTAAGATAGAAAATATAGAAGAAGAGAAACAGAATTGGTGGTGTGGGTAAGATAATGAGTCTATTTTCAAGCACAATAAGTTTGAGGTCCTGTGGGACATGAGGAGGAGCTATCCAGTAGATAATTTGATCTATGGCTCTGAAGCTTTGGATGTTAATGTGCAAATCAGCCACCTGTGAGGCATCATTTGTAGCCAAGGGAAAGGAATGGATAAGTGCCGAAAGAATAGAGAAAAGAATACCCTACAGAGTACCAACATTTAAAGGTTGAGTGAGATCAAGAAGGAGCGATCAAAAAGTGAGAAAACGGTATCATGGACTCCAAGAGTATAGAGCCTTAAGAATGCAAATAATGTTTAATGTAGCAGAGGATATCAAGTAATATTAGAGTCTAAGAAAAAAATTGTTTTTCGCATTCAGGAGATCACTGATTATCTTGGGGAGAGCAATTTCAATGGGGTAGTAGGTTCAGGTAAAATGGCACTTTCTAGAAACTTGATTGGGGTTTCATGGTTAACACTGCCTCCCTATTATCAGGAAGAATTAGGTCCCAGTGATAGAAAGAACCTTTTATTTCTCTCCTGTATGAACTAAGGAAAGAGTTTGAATTTTTCACTAAGAATAGTCCAGCTGTACTAAAAAGTGATGTAGGTACCAAAAGTGATGTAGGTACCAAAGCAACTTGGGTAATAGCTTTTGAGGTTGTGTAGCGGAAGGCTCCCCAGCTGCTTTTTTAGGTTAATTGATCATGCTTTATTTCTACAGTATGGATGGATTTCGACTGGTGAAATTAAATGAGGTCATCCGACAAGTGGATATTGTTATTACCTGTACAGGTATGATTATGACATATAAAATGGGGTGGCACTTGGGAACACTTTCATGGAACAAGTGGAAAACGACTGGAAATGTTCTGAACAAAACCAAACTCTAAAAGCCAGAGATAGTAGTCCACAAAACCAATCTTTCACATTCTTCCTACCTCTTTAGAACTCTGACCAAAAGTATACCATTAGGTCATCCCTAGAGGAAAGTTTCTCTCTAGTCTTTTTAACTGTTCCATATCTCCATTCATCCTCAGCTACCTAGGAGATGGCTACCAGTGAGTTTTATTTGGGAAGCTAGATCTTAAATTTGTACAGTTTTGAAAATTTTACTTCCAAAAGTGATATGTATTTCTCTCTAGTCCCTGTAATTAAAGCAAGGCTAGAGCAAAATTCTTCCTAGTTAGAGAAAGTGGAAAAGGTAGTTGTGTTAATTCCCAAAGATGTAGATTTTGAGTTTTAGAGAGGAATATGCAGATATGTCTACTTTCCTTGGACTGAGATATTTTATCTTTATGTTAGAACCATAAGCCATTGGAATATTGGGTTTACTTTATAATTCTATTTTAAAGGAGGAAAATCAGAATATTTAAGAATAAAACTATTATTTGTAGTCTCAGGGAGAGCTGGGGGCAAAGAAGAACCATAAGAAATTGTTCTTAGGGCTTTCCTGGTGGCACAGTGGTTAAGAATCTGCCTGCCAATGCAAGGGACGTGGGTTCGATCCCTGGTCCGGGAAGATCCCACATGCCATGGAGCAGCTAACCCCGTGCGCCACAACTACTGAGCCTGCGCTCTAGGGCCCACGAGCCACAACTGTTGAGCCCGTGTGCCACAGCTACTGAAGCTGTGTGCCCTAGAGCCTGTGCTCTGCAACAAAAGACGCCACCGCAATGAGAAGCCCGCACGCCACAACGAAGAGTAGCCCCTGCTTGCCGCAACTAGAGAAAGCCTGCCCACAGCAACGAAGACCCAACACAGCCAAAAATAAATAAATAAATTTATTTTTAAAAAAAGAAAAAAGAAACTGTTCTTTTTCACATCAATCCTTCGATCTCTTTTTTTGTAAGTAGCTTTATTGAGATATAATTCACTTACCATATACATTTTACCCATTTTAAGTGTATAATTCAATGTTTTCTAGCAAATTCACAAGGTCATACAACCAAGACAATCTAATTTTTTTATTGAGATGTAATTTACATACTGTAAAAGTCACTCTTTTAAAGTATACAGTTCATACAGTTCTGCAGCCTGTGGAAGGAAAACCACATTCACAGAAAGACAGACAAAATGAAAAGGCAGAGGACTTTCTACCAGATGAAGGAACAAGATAAAACCCCAGAAAAACAACTAAATGAAGTGGAGATAGGCAACCTTCCGGAAAAAGAATTCAGAATAATGACAGTGAAGATGATCCAGGACCTCAGAAAAAGAATGGAGGCAAAGATCGAGAAGATGCAAGAGATGTTTAACAAAGGCCTAGAAGAATTAAAGAACAAACACCTAGCAGAATTAAAGAACAAACAAACAGAGATGAACAATACAATAACTGAAATGAAAAATACACTAGAAGGAATCAATAGCAGAATAACTGAGGCAGAAGAACAGATAAGTGACCTGGAAGCCAGAATGGTGGAATTCACTGCCATGGAAGAGAATAAAGAAAAAAGAATGAAAAGAAATGAAGACAGCCTAAGAGACCTCTGGGACAACATTAAACACAACAACATTCGCATTATAGGGGTTCCAGAAGGAGAAGAGAGAGAGAAAGGACCCAAGAAAATATTTGAAGAGATTGTAGTCGAAAACTTCCCTAACATGGGAAAGGAAATAGCCACCCAAGTCCAGGAAGCACAGAGAGTCCCAGGCAGGATAAACCCAAGGAGAAACATGCCGAGACACATAGTACTCAAATTGACAAAAATTAAAGACAAAGAAAAATTATTGAAAGCAACAAGGGAAAAACGAAAAATAACATACAAGGGAACTTCCATAAGGTTAACGGCTGATTTCTCAGCAGAAACTCTACAAGCCAGAAGGGAGTGGCATGATATATTTAAAGTGATGAAAGGGAAGAACCTACAACCAAGATTACTCTACCCAGCAAGGATCTCATTCAGATTCAACAGAGAAATCAAAAGCTTTACAGACAGGCAAAAGCTAAGAGAATTCAGCACCACCAAACCAGCTCTACAACAAATGCTGAAGGAACTTCTCTAAGTGGGAAACACAAGAGAAGAAAAGGGCCTACAAAAACAAATCCATAACAGTTTAGAAAACAGTAATAGGAACATGCAAATCAATAATTACCTTAAACGTGAATGGATTAAATGCTTCAACCAAAAGACACAGGCTTGCTGAATGGATACAAAAACAAGACCCATATATATGCTGTCTACAAGAGACCTACTTCAGACCTAGGGACACATACAGACTGAAAGTGAGGGATTGGAAAAAGATATTCCATGCAAATGGAAATCAAAAGAAAGCTGGGGGCTTCCCTGATGGCGCAGTGGTTGAGAGTCTGCCTGCCAATGCAGGGGACACAGGTTCGTGCCCCAGTGCGGGAGGATCCCACAGGCCTCAGAGCAGCTGGGCCCATGAGCCATGGCCACTGAGCCTGCACGTCTGGAGCCTGTGCTCCACAATGGGAGAGGACACAACAGTCAGAGGCCCACGTACCAAAAAAAAAAAAAAAAAGAAAGCTGGAGTAGCAATGCTCTTATCAGATAAAATAGACTTTTAAAATAAAGACTGTTACAAGAGACAGGGAAGGACACTACATAATGATCAAGGGATCAATCCAAGAAGAAGATATAACAATTATATATGCACCCAACATAGGAGCACATAGGAGTACATAAGGCAACTGCTAACAGCTTTAAAAGAGGAAATCGACAGTAACACAATAATAATGGGGGACTTTAACACCTCACTTACACCAATGGACAGATCATCCAAACAGAAAATTAATAAGGAAACACAAGCTTTAAATTACACAATAGACCAGCTAGATTTAATTGATATTTGTAGGACATTCCATCCGAAAACAGCAGATTACACTTTCTTCTCAAGTGTGCACGGAACATTCTCCAGAATAGATCACATCCTGGGTCACAAATCAAGCCTCAGTAAACTTAAGAAAATTGAAATCATTTCAAGCATCTTTTCTGACCACAACACTATGAGATTAGAAATCAGTTACAGGGAAAAAAACGTAAAAAACACAAACACATGGAGGCTAAACAATATGTTACTAAATAACCAAGAGATCACTTAAGAAATCAAAGAGGAAATCATAAAATACCTAGAGACAAATGACAATGAAAACACAACAATCCAAAACCTATGGGATGCAGCAAAAGCAGTTCTAAGAGGGAAATTTATAACAATACAAGCCTACCTCAAGAAACAAGAAAAATCTCAAATAAACAATATAAGCTTACACCTAAAGAAACTAGGGAAAGAAGAAGAAACAAAACCCAAAGTTAGTAGAAGAAATCATAAAGATCAGAGCAGAAATAAATGAAATAGAATCAAAGAAAACAATAGCAAAGATCAATAAAACTAAAAGCTGGTTCTTTGAGAAGATAAACAAAATTGATAAACCATTAGCCAGACTCATCAAGAAAAAGAGGGAGAGGACTCAAATCAATAAAATTAGAAATGAAAAAGAAGTTACAACAGACACCTCAGAAATACAAAGCATCCTAAAAGACTACTATAAGCAACTCTATGCCAATAAAATGGACAAATTGGAAGAAATGGACAAATTCTTAGAAAGGTATAACCTTCCAAGACTGAACCAGGAAGAAATAGAACATATGAACAGACCAATCACAAGTAATGAAATTGAAACTGTGATTAAAAATCTTCCAACAAACAAAAGTCCAGGACCAGATGGCTTCACAGGTGAATTCTATCAAACATTTAGAGAAGAGCTAACACCCATCCTTCTCAAACTCTTCCAAAAAATTGCGGAGGAAGGAACACTCCCAAACTCATTCTATGAGGCCACCGTCACCCTGATACCAAAACCAGACAAAGATACCACAAAAAAAGAAAATTACAGACCAATATCACTGATGAATATAGATGCAAAAATCCTCAACAAAATACTAGCAAACAGAATCCAACAACACATTAAAAGGACATACACCATGATCAAATGCGATTTATCCCAGGGATGCAAGGGTTCTTCAATATATGCAAATCAATCAATGTGATACACCATATTAACAAACTGAAGAATAAAAACCATATGATCATTTCAATAGATGCAGAAAAAGCTTTTGACAAAATTCAACACCCATTTATGATAAAAATTCTCCAGAAAGTGGGCATAGAGGGAACCTACCTCAACATAATAAAGGCCATATATGACAAACCCACAGCAAACAACATTCTCAGTGGTGAAAAACTGAAAGCATTTTTCTAAGATCAGGAACAAGACAAGGATGTCCACTCTCACCACTATTATTCAACATAGTTTTGGAAGTCCTAGCCACGGCAATCAGAGAAGAAAAAGAAATGAAAGGAATACAAATTGGAAAAGAAGAAGTAAAACTGTCACTGTTTGCAGATGACATGATACTATACATAGAGAATCCTAAAGATGCCACCAGAAAACTACTAGAGCTAATCAATTAATTTGGTAAAGTTGCAGGATACAAAATTAATGCACAGAAATCTCTTGCATTCCTATACACTAACGACGAAAGATCAGAAAGAGAAATTAAGGAAACAATCCCATTCACCACTGCAACAAAAAGAATAAAATACCTAGGAATAAACCTACCTAAGGAGGTAAAAGACCTGCACTCAGAAAACTATAAGACACTCATGAAAGAAATCAAAGATGACACAAACAGATGGAGAGATATACCATGTTCTTGGATTGGTAGAATCAAAATTGTGTAAATGACCACACTACCCAAAGCAATCTACAGATTCAATGCAATCCCTATCAAATTACCAGTGGCATTTTTTACAGAACCAGAACAAAAAGTCTTAAAATTTGTTATCGAGACACAAAAGACCCCGAATAGCCAAAGCAGTCTTGAGGGAAAAAAACGGAGCTGGAGGAATCAGACTCCCTGACTTCAGACTATACTACAAAGCTACAGTAATCAAGACAATATGGTACAAAAACAGAAAATAGAAAAACAGAAATATAGATCAATGGAACAGGATAGAAAGCCCAGAGATAAACCCATGCACCTATGGTCAACTAATCTTTGACAAAGGAGGCAAGGATATACAATGGAAGAAAAGACAGTCTCTTCAATAAGTGGTGTTGGGAAAACTGGACAGCTACATGTAAAAGAATGAAATTAGAACACTCCCAACACCATACACAAAAATAAACTCAAAATGGATCAGAGACCTAAATGTAAGACTGGACACTATAAAACTCTTAGAGGAAAACATAGGAAGAACACCCTTTGACATAAGTCACAGCAAGATCTTTTTTGATCCAACTCCTAGAGTAATGGAAATAAAATCAAAAATAAACAAATGGGACCTAATGAAACTTAAAATCTTTTGCAAAGCAAAGGAAACTACAAACAAGACGAAAAGACAACCCTCAGAAT